GGTGGGGGGTGAAGGTGTCGGAGGTTCCAAGTTTTAGGACCAGCCTCGCACGCAAAAGGTCTTTCACCAAATCACTTGGATTTTTAATTTTTAATTGTGTTATTTGTTGACTCTGTCTATTTGGAATGTACACACTAATTTATATTTATCCCCTTACAGCTACCAGCAGAGTGCTAGTTGCATTTTCAAAGTTGACCAAGGATTGGATGGTGAATACAGGTGCTCAAGTGGGAATCTTTTCAATGAATCCGCTCTGTCCAACAGAGAAAACGTACAGTTCAGAGGTAAGTACAGTACATCAGCTATTTAAAAATGTGAGGAATCATGGAGAAATACGGTGCTGGTCAAAATAATTAAACCGAAAAATATTACAGTAAAAAGAAACAGCTGTTGAATAACAATCTTCAAAATTGTTTTCGCTTTTTCAGTGGAAACATGGAACACGAAAGGTAGAATTTCACTGCCTTGTAGAACTCCCCAGGCTTCAGAAAAAGAGGGGTAGATGTTTGGAAAAGGGTATACAAAGGAGATGAGGCATAATACGAATTTGTAAAGATTTTATTAAAAAATAGTCACAGATGTGTTCGGATAAAGATGAGGAACATTTACATGGAATAGCATCAAACTCATGTGGGGTTAGTTGCGAATTTACATGCGTCTATGGCGTAACTGTTACGCGCTTGGCCACCCAACGCAGAGGACATGACAGGTAGGGTAGAGGCCGCCTCCTAAATTACCCAAATTGTGTCGGCGGGAGTTTAAAAGCAGTTACAATGTAAAAAAAAAAAGGAACTGCGGTTTCGTATGGTTGCGAGATTTTGTGATATAATACGAGGTTGTAAGTACTAAGAAAATGTCAATTCTTATGCAAGTGGTTGGAGGATGGCAGTAGTGGGTCCTACTTCTTTTCTTTTTTTCATCTGTCATTTCTCTCTATCTGTCTTGCCATTTTCCTGCACTGAGTTTACATTGTCATGTCAATGTGCCTCTCTTTACTCAAACAATGTATATTTATCTAGACATGGTTTCATGTATTATGTAAATGAAATGCATATCGTCGCTGTCGGAAACAATCCAACGAAAACCAAATACTGAGAATTTCCAATTTTTACACCCTTCCAAAACTCTATCTAAAATCCACCTTTCAACATCACAAAAATGCAATTTAATGCTATGGTCAAGGCTAATAATTTTCGTGCTTCTCATGATTCCCGAGAGGAACACCACAACAAAAACTAGGGTTTTTTAAAATTCTCCGGTGCAAGTACCCACACTCGCTTAAACGGGTTGCTTGCGACACCCGACGACATGTCTAGCTTGTACTTTTATTTTTGTGTGTAAAAGAAATTAAATTTGTGTCTTTCCAGACCGTTCGTGGATCTTGCCAAGCGACCCATCACCGCCATTGCAAGGACAAAACTTTTCTTTGATGTGCATGCCAAAAAAAGGAAATCATGACTACACTTGGCACTCTATTATAAGTTCAAGTTATTATTTTCTTCAACGTGGACAACTTCTGGAGATCTCTAACTTTTCCCGCGCCTACCCAGATGGGTATTATTGCAACAGTGAGGGCAGTGGATTTTACAGTAGAGACTTCATGTGTGAGCGTTTTTCTTTTTTTTCCATTTTTTGTTTTTATTTGTTCTTGGTTTGCTGTTTTTCAAAGTGTTTTCTCTTGTTGTTCACACAGAACAGACGCTGGATCTCATACATGCACGCACAAACGCACACACACAAACACGCACACATACACACACATTCACTCACACATACACACGCACGAACGCACATACATACATACATACATACATACATACATACATACATACATACATACATACATACATACATACAC